ATTGGATGGGGTGGGGGATTTAATGTTCGTAAAGAATTGGTTGAAGGAGTGTTACACTCCTACACTCAACATTAGATCAGATCACAACCTATTACATGATTCATATTTAAATTTTTTACACTTTTTGACAAACAATTAATATCGACTTCCTTTTAAGATCAACAATTTAAGTATTCACACCCTGACATATAAAAAACACACATACAATCTCACATCTCTCGTTCAAGTGTTTACACGTGTTACAAAAGGCACACCAGTTTCATTTAGTTAATTTTCGAAAACAATCGAACAACATCCAGAGAACAATATTATTGTGTTTTCAAATAATAATTTTAAAAAAGACAAATTTTTTAGTAATTTGATTTACAAAATCTAATTATTCGGCGGAAAATTAACTCACAAAATCATTTTGTTTAAAAAGCTTGTTTAGTGAAAAAGTGCTAACAATATTCAAACATACAGGTAATTATTCAACTTTGTCATTAACCTTTTCTTAAAAAATTTCCATAACTTTCAAAAAAATTTTCTATTATGTTTAATATCCTGTTCTGATAATCCACTCATTTTTTTTATCATTTTTATTTTGAACATATTATCATATTTCTGTACATTATTATATTTTTTACAATTTAATTCATTATTTAAGAAAAATCTATTTTCTTTTCCTAAACATATTGTTTGCTAAAATCTCATCAAGATCATGTTTCTTGACAGATGTCCTGAAGATGGAACGTACCTAGTTCCGAAACGTCGACAATAAACAAATAATTAAATAAAGAAATTGTTTTTTAAAACTTTTCTTGTTTTTTATTTTGTATTATTTTTGGATTCTTGTTCGAAACTCTACAAAATATACACAAATCCAAGACTCTACCATTCAATATATATATATATATATATATATATATATATATAAATATGTATATATATAGGATATATATATATATATATATATATATATATAAATATGTATATATATAGGATATATATATATATATATATATATATACGAGGTCTGTTCAAAAAGTACCCGGAAATACTAATAATTAAATTTCGCGGGTCTGGAGTGTCTGTCAAAATTTTTTTTTTATTGTGTTGGTATACATGCCCCTAAAGTATGATGAAATTTTCAGCTATATTCACTGTTTACTTTGTCTGTGGTAGTCGCTAAAGGTTCGACGTGTTTTTCTGAGCTCGGCGATTTTTACAATGGAAGAATTGAAAAGTCAAAGAATTTGTATTAAATTTTGCGTAAAAAATGAAATAAAGTGTTGCAAAGTGCAAAAATTCACCAGATATGGCTCCGTGTGACTTTTTCCTATTCCCAAAGTTGAAGAGACCCATGAAAGGACGGCGGTTTTCCTCGATTGAAGAAAATCGCTGAGAGTGCTCAAGGACATATCAAAAAGTGAATATCAAGGGTGCTTCGAAAATTGGAAAAAACGCTGGCATAAGTGTATTATATCTGGGGGGGACTACTTTGAAGGGGACCACATTAATGTAGACGAATAAATAAATATTTTTTTGAAAAAACGAAAATTACGAAAACTTTTTGAACAGACCATGTATATATATATTATATATAAGAATTTTGTGATGTGAGTGGAACGAATATTAAATGATTATATATATATATATATATATATATATATATATTTATATATATATTCAATAGATAAGTCCTGGATTTTTTCAATATATTGATTGTTTCTTTTCCGAACAGTAAATCCAATAATAAAAAACAATTTGTTTTTTGTAGATGTTATCCATATCACTAATATTTTTTTTTTGTTAAAAACACACGATTTTTTGGAGGATATTTGTAGATGTTACGACTACACAAGACTTAAACACACTGATATAGAGTTCTGTCGGCCAGATGTAAGGGACAATGTACGGAAATCTTGGCAAAAATGATTTTATTAACAATTGTGTTAATAAAAGATCAGATCACAATATCATTCATGACTCGTATCTAAATTTTTTAAACCTGATTAAAAACAATTAATCCTAATAATTTTTGAATATGTATATATATACATGTATTTGTGTTGTAATATATGCACATCCATATATGTGCTTATATGTATGTTTTTGTGTATACACTATATACATGCACTTGCGTATATGTTCGTGTATATAATTGTAGATACATTAATATATAGGTATGTGCATATGTATGTATGAGTATGTAGGTGTGCATATACATGTGCATGTATATATACATATACATAATATTTCTCAACATTTACTAAAGCAATATTTCCTCTTTTTTCGTAAATTACCAATACAAGAGCCATAAAAAATCATTTTTGCCAAGAATTCCGTACATTGTCCCTTACATCTGGCCGACAGAACTCCATATCAGTGTGTTTAAGTCTTGTGTAGTCGTAACATCTACAAATATCCTCCAAAAAATCGTGTGTTTTTAACAAAAAAAAAATATTAGTGATATGGATATATAAATTATTACAGGTAAATAATTTTTGCTTCTCAATTTTATATAAAACTTTTTTAGTTAATTCTTATTACTCTTTACCCCGGTACATAATCCATTCCTTTATAAATTTTTTTTTCTAATTAATCTGTATTGACCATCATTAATTAATGTTAATCAACATTTTTAAAAAACATTGTATTTGACAGAATAAACCTGATGATGAATGGTACCTAGTTCCGAAACGTCGTTATTAAACATCTACAAAAAACAATTTGTTTTTTATTATTGGATTTACTGTTCGGAAGAGAAACAATCAATCAATCAATCAATCAATATATATATATATATATATATATATATATATATATATATATATATATATTAATAAAGACATTATACCTTGTCGAAAAGTGAAAAACCAATGAATTTCAAATGAGCATCATCCAGAAATTGTGAATGAAAAGTATTCAGCCAGATGCCTAGTTCAGCTAAACAGTTCGCACGAATATCTGGGTCGAAGTCTCTGTAAAAATGAATAATATTTATTCATAAACTAGGTGTATTTTGCCCATTTTGCCTTTACTACTTTCAAATTTCCCGCTTTGTGTAAATAATGGTCTTAAACGATAAAAATTGAGAATAAGCTATTTGGATAAAATTTTCAGTAATTTATTTCGAAAATAAAGTCTTACTTTTATTAAAATCAAAACAAAGATTAAAAAATCAATCAATGACTAAAAACTGTAACCCCGTAATAAGTTTCATTAAAAACGAAAAATAAATTTTAAACATTTAATTATAAAGAAACGTCTTGACCTATCTACTTCAAAAACTAATCAGCTTACTTCCAAAATGATAGCTTTCTAATAGTTTTTGAATTCTCATAATCGGTCGAGAATAAAAAAGGAAACGTTGCAAAAGTGGCAAAATCGGTGGACGTCAAGAGGAACGGGCAGATGTACGGCGCGCCTGATTCCGGACATTAGCGTCTGGCTCTCTCGACAATACGGAGACACAGATTTCTTTCTGACCAAGCTATTGACAGGACATCGACAGGTTAATGCCTATTTGTTTAAGAAGAGATTGCATAGCACGCCAATGTGCAAATACTGTCCAGATAAAACAGACGACGCTGAGCACACGTTCTTTGAATGTGTTCGGTGGAAAAACTATCAAAACAACGCCGAGAACATTATAGGCATTAGACTCATCCCCGTAAGCCTTGTGACCTACATCCTGAAACAAGAAGAAAACTGGTCAGCTGTAGCAGCTTACGCACTGCACCTTTTGAAGGATAAAACCGGAGAAAGGGACCATAGTCGGAAGCAAGCGTCCCAAGGCGCAGCACGGACTGGATTGATGTAATGCTAACGCGGTTCCAATCCAGTCCTCTCCGTACCATCTGCGGGGATAGGGAAAGAAATGTTTTTTTAGTGGGTAAAAATCTCCACACTACCGTCCATCGTTGTCTGCTGTAGAATGGACAGCGGAGTATAAACGATGGCAGTGTCTTATAAAGATTTTCTTTCGCACCTCTATAAAAAACATACACACATAAACACACACACACACACTTATTCCATACTTGGTCTACAACCATTCAGAATGACTTGAAACGTCAATAAATATAAAATTAGCAAATCAATTTTTTTCTTGAGAACCTAAACTTATTCTTAATAATAACTTTAAAATTATTTTATTATATTATAGTTATAATCAAAATTTCTGTATGAGTCAAAAACAAAATATCAAAATATCTCACTTGTAACGATGTGTAAAAATATATTTGAATATACTCTTGATCATCTTTTGCAATTCCTCTTGGTTTTCAAGTAATTCATCTCGCTTTTCAATGAGTGTTTCTAATCGGTCAGGCATTTGCCTTCCCAAATCTTTCGCTTCTTCTGCCTCGACTTGACGTATGGCATAATTACAATTTACAGATAATTTCGATTCAATTTCTGCCAATGCCGTCATTAATTTTATACCTGAGTGAATAGTCGATTAGAGATACGGTTTTATTAAAAGGTTTGCAGAATCCTTGAAGATATTTCAAAATGAACATGTGATAATCTCACTAATTAAACTTACCTGCCAATGTAGAAGTGTATCGAAGAATTTGTAGTTTTACCTTCGATAGACAAGTCAGCATCGAAATTACATTTTGCATAAAAAATTATCGTAAATGATCGAGTATTGGCATTGATATACTAATGTAGAAATAAACAAACAGAAGTCTTCATGGAATTTTTTACGATTTTTATCTTTACTGAGCAATGAAACAAACTTATCATCTTCCTATAAAAAAACAAACAATTATGCATCATTCTTCAGTAAATTTAAAATGTTATATTTCTATTATACCCGTATAAAATCAGCTTCGATTTTTGTTGCTATAGTTGAATGATCTAATGTTTTTAGCATTCCTGAAGTCACTTGAATGCCATTGTATCCACTAGCATTCAAAATAAAACTGATTAAAACTGACAATGCTTTGTAGTAATCGGCTTTGTACATCGCTATCCAATCGTTGACAATTTTCTGAATACATTAAAAACATATAAATAAAAAAAAGAGATTCTCACTTTATGGGGTCTGTACAAAAATGCTCTTTCTAAAATATGTAGTATATTTGTGAACTTAATAAATTAAAATTTGTAGTCCTCACTTTTCTCTTATAATTTATGTTTATTTCTCTTATAATTTAATAATCATGTGAAGTTCCCCTTCAAAATGATAAAGTGTTTTGTTTTTCAATGATTTCTATTTATTAAATAATATTATAATCAGTCTCAATCGTTTTTACTCATCTCAAATTCATTGACCTACTACAACAGTTTTTCAATGAAGTACATATATCGTTATATAAAATGACATATAAGGTAAAATTATACTGGTATACTAATTATTAACTTCCCACAGGGTTAAGTTATATATAACTACTAGCCGGCCCGACAGACTTCGTCCTGTCAAAAAAAATTGTAATGTGGCGGTGTTTTGTGCCTACCTTTTTTCAATTCTTTGCAAACAATTATCCTGAACAGAACCGTCACCCTGGTAATAATTCGGTGTGAATTAAAAATAATTAAATAAAACACTATAAGCATTTAAAAGTAAGTAATTTTAATAATATAAATCATAATTCAAAAATCTGTTCAATTTTCATTGTAGTGCTTTGTGATAAACGATGTTTTTTGTTTGATTACCTGGCGCATAGACAAACAAATCTAATGGTTTTCCAATACGGGAACAAACAACATACAATTTTCCATGTGAGAAACATGGGTTTTCTAAATTAATACCGAAACGCATTGGGATGCATGGTGCGAGAACATCTTCTGCTTTATACTATCATTTGAATATAGTTGGTCGATATTTCGCAAATTATAATTGCCGATCCAACCTTTAATTAAAGATTGTGAGGTGACAATCCTAGCAAATCCAGCGAGTTTAAAAACTCCAGTGGATCTTGGTTCCGTCTTGGTTAGTTGCCGAATCAACTGATTCGCCTGTAATTTGTTCTTGAATTTTGAAATTTAATTAATTTACATCAATGTTTTTGGCTGCCAATATAGCTTGATTAATAGAAAGATAAATATATTCAAAATTAGATTATTAAAAACTACACAAAATGTCATAACATAGATCATTGTTTTTTTTACAAATTGCGTTGCCTACTCGATTAAAGAAGAAAAGGGCTGTTTTTAGGGTTTTCCCGGCAATTATTCGTTTTTTTCTTGCCGTAACAACCATCCTTGGACTTCAACGAACATTTTAAAAAAATAATTGGCCAAATTGGTCCAGGGGTTGTTGAGTTATGCGCTTACCAACACATTTTGCGATCCATTTTTATATATAAGATAGTAATCGCAAAACATTCGAAAATGAAAATTTTTGCATATCTTTACGTTTCAAATGTTACTGAATATTGGCATACCTAAGTAGGGCGCATAGTATCGTGCCTTAAAGCAAATTGCTGGAACTTTCGGTACCGTAATTAAACATTTGAAGAATAAAGATAAGTCAACAAAAATGACTATGAATAAATATTATAAAAACTAGAATTTTCATAATTTGTTCCTTGTGAACAAAATGTGAAAACTTATTAGATTAGACGACGTTGTTTATACATGTTTGAATGAAATATATATAAACAAAAACTAATTAAGCGGACTTATTGTTAGAATGAACATATTTTATTTCAAATGCATCAATTTTTCGTCCACGATTTCGGGCGTACGGATTAACTGACTTGAATAATTCAAAAAACATTCGATTCTTATTCATTGTAAGATGTGCTGATTAATTTTTGGCTAAGGCAGATCCAGCTATTTCAAAAATACGGGGCAAAAATGCCAAAAACAATAATTCAGTTTCTGAGAGAACGGAGCGCACGATTTGAATGATTCTGAAAACATTTTCCTTGTATAGACAAAGAAATTATTAAATTTTTGGCAAGGCACTTCTAGCGGTTTCGAAGATACTGTGGTAAAAGTAGAAAAGAAATGATATTTGGCGGTCAAAAATGATCATTAGACATATGTTCAACAAAGTATCGTATATTTTATAAAAATTTTAAAAATGAGTACTAATATTGTTACAATTTCTTTGCGTTCCGTACCAAGAATTTTTATTTTTTGAGTTCACTTGCAAGGCTCAAACAAATATAGAAAATTTCAGCAAAAAAAAATTATCAAATATTTCAAAATTCAAAATTGAATAGGATCAAATTAGTTTAATTTTTCTTGGCCTCCAATAAACTATCCTGTAGTTCTTACAACATAATACTATGTCATTTTGTCCATAATATAGGTATGTTATTTTGTCCGATAGTGAATAATAATGAAAAATCCATTAAAAACCTGATTATTGCAAAAAAATTACATTATACTAATATATGTTAATTGATTTTAAAAGGAACAAAAAATAATTAAAAAGTCCAAAAAAAAAAACATGACAAAACCACCTTCAAAATGAGCTTTCAAAAAACAAATTTATGAAAATTGCCTTAGGAGCACCAAAATATGTCTCGAACTGGCTGATTTATCTAGACACAAATACACCTACCATAAAAGATGTAATAAAACAGTGCATAAATATAGAACAGCTAATCAGTCATCCAAATTCACTAGCAAACTCCTTAATAACATAAAACTATGAGGTAGATTGAACAAAAAGTCACCACTTGATTTAAGTCATCAATTTTCCTGATGAAGATTGAAATAACTTAGGTATAATTTATACAAAAATATTTAGAAGAAAATAGTTAAGTTCATATTATTATCATCAAAATATTGTAAATATTATATTTATAACAAATGAAACTAGTTGGTATTGGTATTTTGCCTCGAGGCAAGTTACATGAACTTCCCGATATGTGTAATTAATCGAATTAATCAATAAGAAATAAATTAATTTATGAGTTATTAAAAGTATTTCGAGTGAATTTATTACTCATAATTGAAAACGAAAAAACAGTTAACTCGTAGTATTTTCTAAAAGCAAATTTTCATGAAATCAATAATTTTTATAATTGAACCAGTTTCCGTAGGACTTTAATGATTCAGTATGTTCATTAAGACCAAGTACTCTATCGTTATACCAAGTAAATCGTCTATTTTTAATTTTAACAAACGTCAAAAACTCATTTTCTCAAACTTTGATGATTTTTTAAAATTACTTGTCGTAAGGCCGTAATATTTCAATAAGTTGTATAAGACCATGATATATATCATCAAAAAGTTTCATAAAAATCGGCTCAATTTTTTTTTCTACAACGAATTTCAAAAAAACGGCTCGGTAGATTTTCGCCTAAAACGAAACAGAATCATTCCCAACTAATATCTTGCAAACAGTTTTTGCTTTTTTAAAATCGATTCGGTAGTATGAGCTTAAATGCGGACAAAAAGTTTAACACTTTTTTCCAAATTTCAAAAGAACGGCTCGGCCAATCGTCTCACAAAAGTGACAAGCGATAGTCTTCATTGAGGCACATCAAATGGTTTTTGAATTTCTGAAATTGGTTCAGGCGTTTTTGAGCAAACGTCGATGAAAGGTCTAATTTTGACAAATGCCGTAATATTTTAATATGATCTAGAAGACTGTGGTATCTACTGTCAAAAAAATAATAATAACTAGTGGTGCATGGCATCGTGCCTTAAGGCAAATTGCTGGAACTTCCCGTACCGTAATGAAATATTCGAGAAATTTTAAACGTTTTCAAATATATTATTACAAATACTGTAACTTTCATTATTTTTGCATTATCTTGTTATATCTGAGCAAATCAAATGTAAAAATAAATCAATTTATCTCTAGAACATTAACCCAATCGTCATTTCATTTCGAATTCAATTTCAAAAAAAAAATAGTTGCCTAATTTACACAAAATTGAAAAAGTGCTCCCGTATAGTCAGAATTTGCAAATAATTTTGTGCGACATTTTCACTTATACTGTGCTTGGCTTGGCGGCATTTTTACATTTTTCAATAGTTTTCACAAAATTGGAAAAGTGCTCCAGTACATAAACAGTCTAAACGCACTTGGGTCAATATTTGCACCAGAGTGACGCTTAGACTGTGCTTAGCCTGGGTAATTTTTTGAATTTTTAATCCAAAATTACAAAAATATTTTTTGAAAAAAAAAATTAGAAACAAAAATTTTTTTCCAAAAGCAATTATTTTGTTGAAACAAGCAGAAAGTTCTTTGAATTATTTAAATTGGACGCTTAGTTCTCTCAAAAACTGCCATTTTTTTTACTCTGTATCTCCGAAACCGCTGTGCCTAACTCTGCCAAAAAATTAAAAGCACTTTTCCCCGTCATTACGAATTGAATGTTTTTTGGATCATACAAATCGGATGATCCGTTATCTCAAAAACTTGATTTCTATTTTCTGGACTCTTTGCTCCATATCTCCGTAACGTCTGGATCTCTCTTTGCCAAAAACTAATCAGCACATCTCCCTATCAATAGGAATCTAATGTTTTTTAAACCATTCAAATCGGTTGATCCGTGCACCCGAAAACGTGGACGAAAAAATGCTGACATACAAAACAATTTTCAAAATCGATTCAGAACTGCGGGCTAAAACGGGGCCGAAAATTTTTTCACTTTTCTGCTATTTACAAAGAAACGGCTTGATCTATCGTCGCGCAAAATTGATTACCGCTAATCCTCATCGCGATATATCGAATGGCTTTTAAATTTTTTGAAATCGGTCCAGCCGTTGTTGAGAAAACGTAGATTTACGGCAAAAAATCTGTTCACATACACGCACACACACACATACACACACACATTTTTTCCAATTTTGGTCTCATTCGATTCAGAATGGCTTGAAACGTCGAGAAAACATAAAATTAGCAAATCGGATTTTTTGATGAAAACATAAACTTTTCCTTCGGGAAGTTAAAAACAACTATTGAGTTGTTTTTCCAACATGTCACTATAGTACCTACACAATGTCCCTATTTCGGCTGACAGTTGTAAATTCCACAAATTTACTAAATGTTCTTAACTGGACAGTTGTAAATATATAGTAGTAAATAAAAAATAAACTAGTGGTGTGTATGACATCGTGCCTTAAGGCAAATTGCTGGAACTTCCCGTACCGTAACGAAATATGTTTGAGAAATATTAAATATTTTCATATAGATTATTATAAATACTTTAACATTATCTAATATTTATAAGAATTATATAAACTGAATTGCAAAGTTGAAAATATGTGTTAAAAGTATATTAGAACTTAAGTCAAAATTACACTTAAGATCTGAATTATTTTCGATACACAAAAAAAATTGAAAAAAAAATTGAAACAATTTTTTTTTTCAAAAGCAATTATCTTGTCATAATAAGCAGAATGTTCTTTGAATGATTCAAATCGGACGCTTAATTCACCCAAAAACTGCCATTTTGCGCACGTTTAGCTCTATATCTCCGAAACCGCCGGACCTGCCTTTGCCAAAAACGAATCACCACTTCTCCCCGTCATTACGAATTGAAGGTTTTTTGGATCATTCAAATCGGATGCTCCGATCTCTCAAAAACTCGATTTTTATTTTCTGCACTCTTTGCTCCGTATCTCCCAAACGACTGGACCTTCCTTTGCCAAAAATAATCAACACATCTCCCTATCAATAGAAATCGAGTGCTTTTTGAACCATTCAAATCGGTTGATCCGTGCGCCCGAAAACGTAGACGAAAAATTTTGTCCATACATACATACATACATACATACACACACATCCATTTTTTCTAAGGTATGCCAAGATGTTCAGAAACCTCCAAAACGTGAAGAAATGTAAAAGATTTCAATTTCGATTTTTGGACAATAACTTACCCTACGGGAAGTTAATAAATAAACTTTCGAAGACGCGATATACGTTAATACGTTATACATTAACATAATTAGGGCCGTCCAATTATTAAATAAGACCACTGTATCATTTTGTCCGTATATACAATTTTGTTTGTATCTCCACTGCAATTTTAGAAATGCACCAAAGTGCATTCCCTTCTCTTCTTTATTAAATATTCGATAAGTCAACTTACAGTCAATATTCTATCATCTTCCCTTAAAGCAGAGTAAATGCAGATATCCTCTATTTCAGTCGCTTGAATACTGCCAAAGCTCCGCTGGGTTCTATGAGAAAGAAACCCGGAAGATTGATAACTACTCGAAGGTGTTGTAGGTGGATCTATAAATTATACATAATATATCTAGTAAATAAGTATATTTTAAATTATTATAATACTTTTAGCGATGATTTAGAATGAGACTTACTAGAAATTTGGATAGCATTAACATTTAAAGAATCAACAATCGAGTCCGCATTTGTTTCAGAAGCAATATTTGTCAAACTGTCATCAGGTTCTCTGAAAATATCTCTGAAAAATATTGTAAGATTTATGTAACATAATGAGGGCTAATTTAAAGCATGATGATGCCTTATTAATTAAATACTGTAATAATTTAAAAAAATAAAGCTAGTGTTTGACTCGTTATAAAATATTGAGTTAGTTTGCATCATTAAACTTTTTAATATTTTCATACCTTCTTCACAAACTTTCTTCTTACTATTATTTAGCTCTTTTATAAATATTTTATAAATTCGAGACTATTGAAATAGTATTATTTCTTGTGGACTTTAATTTATGAAATGTCTTTGTATATATATATATATATATATATATATATATATATATATATATTGTTGTGCCCGTAAGTGTGAATAAGAAATAAAGAACTTAATTTGTAATACAGAAGAAATTATACGAAACACTGGTTTGATTTAGAAAGTTTATTTAGAAAGAATGATTAAATGATTTTTGTATGTTTATTGTTCGCTTCTTGAAATCTGCCGTCTAAGAGAGAACTAAAAATCTGTTTTTGCGATAAGGAAACCTCGGTCTGTCTGTCTTCGGGGATGCTCGTAAAGATTCGGTCCATAGTGCATAGGCATAGATGGGACCTGTGCATCTTATATATTTAAGTCGAAGCTGCATCGGGGAAATTATGCATAACACCTTCCCCCTTAATGAGATTATAGTTTTATTTTACCTCATCTAGACATCATTAATTAAAACTATAATCTAATAAAAAATTACATAATTTCAGCAAAAAGAAAAACTAAGAATATAAATGGAACAAGTATCTAAAACAATAACAATTATTCTTAAATATAGTAAATATAACAATGAGAAAAAGACAGTTTCGTGACAATATAATATAACACAATTTTAACAATTTAGTAAAATAAAATATAAATGGATGAAACTAAAAACAATGTCAAGTCTAGAACATGTAAAACTTAAATCTAGTAATTTTGATATAATAAAAATAACGATACTGTGACTTAATTAAATATTTTATCTTAAATTTTTGAATAAATTTATAGAAATTAACTTTGTTATCTGAATTCTTTACTGAAACGGAATGGAAATTAGCAACATTAAAATTAAAATTATGAACAATTTTCAAAAAACTGGAGTATAATAAAAGAAATAAAATTATTAAACGAAAAGATTTTAATCTGTTGACATAAACTTTTACTGACCTCTTCCCACAGAGCAAAGTGTAGTTGACAGCTGAATCCTTTGAGAGTTTGATATCTATAATTTTCTGACATTTTAACAAAATACTCTTTTGAAATAAAATTGGACTAGCTGCTAGACTATAGGGTTGAAAACAAAATCTAAAATCCTTTGCATAGCCATAGTGGAAATAAAGGTTTGCAGGAGGTTTATTATGGAGTTCATTCATTAAAATTGGTGATAGGAATTTATTAAAATTATCTTCTAAAATGAAGGTTTTCAAATTGAAATTGTAAAATATAAAATTGTGATTAACTGAATATACATTTTGATTAGCATGAAATTTATTAAATTTGGTTGGAAGTGAACAAAACAACTGAGGATTAAGTTTCGAAGGAATAAAATTAGGTTCTAAAATTTGTTTGAAAGTATGAAAGGAACGTGGACAAATATTTGTTAAAATACCACTAAGCGTGTCAAAGTTTATTGACTTAAACTTGTCTTTAAATTTAAAATTTTGTTTTAAAAATATCTTATTTTTTCTTACACTATCTAAAATTTAGATTTTTAAAAGCCTATGCTATCTAAATTAAAATTACCTAAAATTATATTTTTGTAAGAATTTGGAACAAAATTAGAAGATTCAGAGTTTCTGGAAATTTGAAAATTTGGAATATATACATCTTTACTAATATTCGACTTTTCTAATGTTTCTAAAGAATTAATATTACTTACTATCCTAGCTATGAATTTAGAATTTGAATTTAATTTTGTTTCTGAATTGAAGTTTAATTTAAAATATACAGTATCAAAAATTAACTTAGACTCTGGAAAATTGATTTTACCATTAAATGTTTTTAAAAAATCTAAACCTAAAATGCCATCACTATTAATAGAGAGGTCATCTCTAACTATACTAAAATCGTGTCGAACTATCTTATCACCTAATAAAATTCTTAAATTTGCTTTTCCTAAACTATCTACAGCCTTACCCGACACACCAGTGATGCTAAATTTATTTTCTATACTAGTTTTAATGTCTATGCTATCTTTTAACTTGGAAATTTTAATGATACTAATTTCGGCACCAGTGTCAACTAACATGTTAACCTGGTCCTTCTCGGTATCTAGGAAATTTAAATTAGCATAAACTAAATCATTTTTATTTGAAATACAAGAAAGTTGAACTGTTCTTAGTTCACCTGCTTTGCAAATCTCTTCCTTGCTGGTGTTCGGCTTATCTATCTTTTCAATAAAATTAACTTTAGAGCGTTGTTGCTCATTGAAAATTCTTTTCCTACAATCTTTAATTATATGACCCGAAAGCTTGCAATAATTACATTTAAGTACTTCGGGTTTAATATCAGAATGGAAACTAGGATTAGGATTGTAATTATAACTAGAATTAAAATAAGAATCAGGATTGTAATTAGAATTAGGATTAAAATCAATTTTGGTACTAAAATTTGGATTTGGTTTAAATTTAGAATTTGGATAAAAATTTGAATCAGAATTAAAATTGGAATTTGGATCAAAATTAGGATGTGAATAAAAATTAGAATTAGAATTAAAGTTGGGATTTGAATTGAAATGAGTTCTTGGAAAATTATATCTATTTGAAACTAAGGATGAATTTAAGGAAACTTCTTCTTCCGTTGCTATCGATATAGCTGAATCTAGATCAGTGGACTTACATTTAACAATAGTCTTAAGTTCAGAGTGTAAACCCTCTTTAAAAACATGATAAGCTTGTTTATTTAAAATTTGTGAACAAAAAGCATCAGTAGCAGGGTTGTTATTTTCTCTAATTGTTGCATCTGTTAATTCTCTTAAAATATTTCTAAAACGAAAAGCATAATCTGTAACATTTTCTTTAAAGCCCTGCCTGCATTGACTAAATTCAATTTGTAACGAAGCTACTGATCTGACATTAAAATAAATTTTTTCTAAACATGATTTCAAATCTGAAAATTTTGTTAAAGTTTTGTATCGTGTAGCCTCCATTGCACGACCACCTAACTTTACATGTAAAATAAAATTTAATAGGGGTAAATGATCACTGGGATCAATATTATCAAAAATATATGAACATGTGTATAAAAATTCGCTTAATTTAGTATGGTCACAGCCATCAAATCTAGGTACCATATCCATGGCCTTTTCGAAAGATAAAACTGGGGCCATGTTAGCAATTTGGTTTTATTTTAATATGAGAATTAAAGGAAATAAGGAGGATTTGGGAATTAAAATAGATCTAGATGTAATGACTATTCAATAAAAAAAACAAAGTTACTCTCACCCAAACTAAATGTTACTCGACTCTCAAAATTGGATTCTGCTGACAAAGTATTCTCTGCTCTGGAAGTAGAAGGTCAGCAATTTCGCGTTCTCTCGACATCAACACTATATTTTGAACAATAAGATTAGTAAAATGGTAAAAATATGTAGATAAAAATTAGAACTTGATATTAAAGTTAAGTTCTATATAACATTGATATGAATATACTCGTATATACTAAATTTGGTAAAAATGAAGTTTGAAGAATGAATAAAATACATATATAATAATAAAAAAAAAAAAATTGATAGAAATTCTATAAATTAGACAATAATTAATCTTTTAATCATAAGGTTTATAATTCTCAATTATAATATTCAATTCTCAAAGTTCTAAAAATCTAAAATCTAAAAGTTAGTCTAAAAGTTGGAAATCTAAAAGTTGGAAATCTAAAAGTTTCGAAAATCTAAAAGTTTGAATTGAAAAAATTAAAAACCTTATGCTTTTACAAGAAAAGAAAAAAAACACGTGACACAAAAAAAAATTCTAAAATATATGTAAAATTTTCTAAAAATTTCTAAAAATTTGTAAATGAATATTATCAAGAAGCGAAAAAAAATATGATGTCTAGAATTTGGTAAAAAAAAACAAAAACCATGAATCAATCGACTCTATAAATTCTTTCAAACCAAAATGGCCGTCGTCCTGTAGGTATAGCGCTTGGCTTCGTTCCGTGCTTTCTAGTATCTGCTAACAAGAAGACAATATGGCAGCCATCACCATCGACAATGCCAATCTTGAAATAATGGATTTCTGCTCACGAAGTAGTTCTTCCAAATTTATCTGTTCTTCTGATTTTTCTTTTCACTGGCCTTTTTATTAATTAGTTTTAGGTTATATCTCACCGTTACTGCCACCAGATTTGTTGTGCCCGTAAGCGTGAATAAGAAATAAAGAACTTAATTTGTAATACAGAAGAAATTATACGAAACACTGGTTTGATTTAGAAAGTTTATTTAGAAAGAATGATTAAATGATTTTTGTATGTTTATTGTTCGCTTCTTGAAATCTGCCGTCTAAGAGAGAACTAAAGATCTGTTTTTGCGATAAGGAAACCTCGGTCTGTCTGTCTTCGGGGATGCTCGTAAAGATTCGGTCCATAGTGCATAGGCATAGATGGGACCTGTGCATCTTATATATTTAAGTCGAAGCTGCATCGGGGAAATTATGCATAACAATATATATATATATATACGAGTATATATATATATATATTTGAATAGTCTTGAATTTGATGTTGATATATATGTTTAATTTGAGTTTAATATTCGGGCGTAACATCAATAAAAATAGTATGAGAGTTTTTTTTAAAAGTTTATTTATTTAAAATCCATACGTTTCGGCTAGCATCTTAGCCATCATTCAGTGGTAATCAAATTAACTATAAATTGAAATTAAATAAATTGTATGAAAGGAAATTTCATGGAAAAACAGTAATAATAATAATGATAATAAAACACTTACAATTTTGTATCATAATATAGCATATGAAACCATTATTAATC